TTTTCTTTTGATTACTTAAACTTCAAAACGCATTGTTCTTTAGAATTATCAAATGTTTCATTTCCTTTAAATAATTGAGTAATAGTGATTTTTTGAAAAGAATGTGGCATGGTTATTAAACTTAAACTTTGAAACGAAACCACAAAAAAATGCGCAAGGGGAATAACAACAAGATGATTGCCAATAATGAAAATAATTCTTTTGTCAAACTACCCTACGAAATACATTGTCACTTATTATCATATTGGCGACATTTAAATATTATATTAAATTTTCAATCAATTTGTAAAAAAATTAATGTATTCCAAGTATTGTCATGAAGAAAAGGATTTTTTCAATGAATTTTATTGGAATTTATTTGAAAATTATTTACCAATTAATTATAAATTAAGGAACGAATTTAATGTGTATAAAAATGAATTGATCAAACAAGGAAAATTAAAAAGAATTGTATTATTAACTTTATATGCTAAATATAATATGCATAAATTACATGATAAAGAATATAGTATTAAATGTTCTATAATGGGTGGAGTTGGTATGTTGTACCAAATTTAAATTATTAAATTACAAATTAGGTAAAACATCAATTGTGTTTCAATTTTTTAGAAATATGTTATGCTATGATCTATCATGTGTAGATGATTATGCGAAATATATACTAGTTGATGAAAATACATTTAGAATAGAAATATTTGATACAGGTTAGTATTTAAATAGTTTACAATTTTTTATTAATTATATTAAATATTGAAAATAGATGCGGCAGAGGAATATTCAACATTGAGAGGTAAGTCAATATATTTTATTATTATATATCTAATATACATAGATCAATGTATTCGATCCAGTAAATGTTTTATACTTGTTTGTGATGTATTTGATTTCAAGTCAATTAACAGTTTAAAATTTATGATCGAACAAATATTAAATATTAAAGAATCAAATGACATTCCAATTGTATTTACATTAAATAAGATTGATTTAATTAATAATAATAATTTGGAGGAAATGGTTGAAAAATTAAAAATGAAATTAATATTAATTTAATTGAATATTATCAATTAATAAATACTAAAATAGTAACATCATGTGCTATAAAAGGAGATGGTGTTGAAAATATATTTGAGGAAGGAATCAGGTTAACAAGATTTGAAAACCAAACTGATTTAAAATTGCTATTTAAAGAAATTATTCAAAAAGATGTAAAATATTTAAAATCCACAACAACAAATATTAGAGAACATAAATGTTTGACCATGTGAAATATTAAATTCACTAATATTAATAATTGGTAAACGTCAAAGAGCAATAGCTCTTTTATTTTCTTACAGTTTCATTCAAACGAAGGAAATCCATAGGATTCTCAGCAATAAAAAAAACAATGAAACGAACTTTGGATTCAGTGCTGGACATGGTTGAGTGTAATGAAGATACTCAACAACACCAGCATTCCGAATGTTTGGGAAACATAAACAAGAAGAAACTGCAAGAAGTAACAATTCGCAACTTTCCTACTGTTGCAAATATTTACAATATCACATACAAAGTAATGGATTACAACGTGTTTTATGAATCGAGAGGTAAAACTCTTCTATCATGCACAATTAATAATGTGGTCTGCATTGTCAAAAGAGTGAAGCAACATGAAGGAGTAAAATCAATTTTGAGTTTATATTTACCTAGTGATAATCCAGATTATTGCTTCACACTGAAAGGAACATGTTTGGGAACAATGTTTAGGAATGGGCAAGTTGACCAAATTGACATTTTTCAATTTGTGAAAGATTTACTTGGCACACTTGTATTATTGGAAAGAGGAAATATTACACACAATGATATCAAACCAGATAATATTGTCCTATATGATGGACATTGGTTTCTTATAGATTATGAACTGTCAAAGTCATTCAAACTGAAA